GTTCTTTGCCGTAAAGTTGATTTACTAAAGACCAGGATTGTCCAAAAGGCTTATCATTAATAACCGTACGTTTCTATGTGATGATTAGTCTATTATTGTGCTGTACAACAATAAAATCTTGGCACGAATCAATTTAAATTTGCATCCCAGCCATCTTAATTTCTAGGAACAGGAGGCGTCTTAAAAAATTGGTATTTAGAAGGTTACTGTTCTTCCAAGCATTCATTTGTTTATCAGAATGCTGTAAGCTATTATTATACAGTGGATCGCAGCTTATTTCGTGCAGTTACCTAAAAAAAGTTCAAGTCGTTATTCCTGCTAAACTAAAAAAGATAACAGAAAAATTTAAATGCAGTATTTTATAAGGGAATATAAACTTGTTTATTAAATTAAAACGATTTCCTTAATCGTAAAAACAAAATACTTATTAAATAAAAACAAAATGTGCAGGCTTTTTTCATGCCGCAGCTTATTTCGTGCAGTTCATTCTTCTTAACTTATTATTTGTAATTTAAAAGCTAATATTTGGTATGTCCTCCTTTCTGGTTCAGGACAGCTTTGAGACGATTTCCCAAGGAAGAAACTAACTTTTTAGTGGTTTCCACTGGAATTTTTGGCCATTCTTCCATAAGAACACTTTACATGTCGTTTTTGTTCGAAATCTTCCTAGGTGTTTGCTTTCCAGCTCTGTATTAGGTGCCGCCAAACATATTAAACCAAAAAGGTTACATTTTGACTCGTCTGCAAATAACACGTCATTATAAATCGAAATCGGAAGAAGAAATGCTCCCTTGTTCCTAATACAGAGCTGGAAAGCAAACACCTATAAGCTACGGTCAAGCATGGCGGGGGTCATGTTATGGTTTGGGCCTGTATGGCAGCTTCTGGCGGGGCAACCTCGTTTTTTTTAAAGTTATCATGGATGGCCAAGATATACCTACAGATTCATAAGGAAAACCTGCTCCAAACTGCTGAAAAACTGGGCATACGCGATCGATTTCGATTTGACCAGGACAACGATCCGAAGCATTCAGCAGGAATTGTGGAGGTTTATCTTGTCTGGAACTGCCCTCATGCCGTCATAACGCCAGCATAGTCTCCAGACTTAAATGTGATCAAAAATTTATGGGAAATATTGGACATCGCTATAAGGAAGAGGAAGATTTCGAACAAAAACGACATGTAAAGTGTTCTTATGGAAGAATGGCCAAAAATTCCAGTGGAAACCACTAAAAAGTTAGTTTCTTCCTTGGGAAATCGTCTCAAAGCTGTCCTGAACCAGATAGGAGGACATACCAAATATTAGCTTTTAAATTACAAATAATAAGTTAAGAAGAATGAACTGCACGAAATAAGCTGCGGCATGAAAAAAGCCTGCACATTTTGTTTTTATTTAATAAGTATTTTGTTTTTACGATTAAGGAAATCGTTTTATTTTAATAAACAAGTTTATATTCCCTTTTAAAATACTGCATTTAAATTTTTCTGTTATCTGTTTTAGTTTAGCAGGAATAACGACTTGAACTTTTTTTAGGTAACTGCACGAAATAAGCTGCGATCCACTGTAACCCTTGCAGAGGGTATTATAATTTCAGTCAAAAGTTTGCACCGCAGTGAAGGAGACATTTCCGACCCTATAAAGTATACATACATACATATGTATATACTCTTGATCAGCATCACCAGGGGAGTCGATCTAGCCATGTCGGTCTGTCCGTCCGTCCATTTCTACGCAAACTAGTCCCTCAGTTTTAAAGCTGCTTGAAATTTGCTTGAAACTTTCCCAAAAGTTGTCTTTCTATTGCAGACTATATCCTATAGCTGTCATATAACTGAACGATTGGAAATGCCATAACTTTGGTGTTTGTAAAGTTAGGAAGTTGGGATTTTTTATGAGTATTATAAGTTTGCTTTCCTTTCTTGTTTTAAAAAATGTTGATAATCTTATGACCACTATCTCAAAGAATTCAATAAAGATAATTCAGAGAAAAGGATATTTAAAACAGTTTAATAGAGTCAAAAGGCCTCATTAAAAAACATGTACCCACGCCACTGTTACTGTAGACGGCTGTTTTCCTTTTTTTTTATTTTTTATGAAATATGTATTTATATTTGTTAGAAACTTTAATTTTTTGGGGTTCGACCGTGAAGTTAAAACAAGAAAGGAAAGCTAACTTCGGGCGGAGCCAAAGTTGAAATACCCTTGCAGAATATTCTGCAAATTATATTCTCCAAAATTATTCATATGATGCATTCTTAATACTCATAAAAAATCCCACCTTCCTAACTTTAAAAACACCAAAGTTATGGCATTTCCAATCGTTCAGTTATATGGCAGTTACAGGATATAGTCGGCCGATCCATATGAAATTTGATAGGTCGGACTAATTGGCCAAAAAATAAAACCCATAGGAAATCCCAACTTTCTAACTTTACAAACACCAAAGCTATTTCATTTCCGATCAATCAGTTATATGGCAGCTATAGGATATAGTCGGCCGATCCTTATGAAATTTGATATGTCGGATTGATTGGTCAAAAATAAAAACCATAGAAAATCCCAACTTTCTAACTTAACAAACACCAAAGTTATGGCATTTCCGATCAAACAGTTATATGGCAGCTGTAAGATATAGTCGGCCGATCCTTATGAAATTTGGTAGGTCGGATTAATTGGCCAAATATAAAACCCATAGAAAGTCCCAACTTCCTAACTTAACAAACAGCAGAGTAATGGCATTTCCGATCAATCAGTTATATGGCAGCTATAGGATATAGTCGGCCCATCCCGGCCGTTCCGACTTATATACTGCGTGCAAAGGAAAGAAGGGTGTGTGCAAAATTTCAACTCGATAGCTTTAAAACTGAGAGACTAGTTTGCGTAGAAACAGACAGACGGACATGGCTATATCAACTCAGGAGGTGATCCTGATCAAGAATATATGTACTTTATAGGGTCGGAGATGTCTCCTTCACTGCGTTGCACACTTTTGACCAAAATTATAATACCCTCTGCAAGGGTATAAAAAAGAGTTGTGATATAGAAACAATTTTTACATTTTAGACAACATTTCTATATTAAAGAAAATATAACTATTTTTAGGGCTATCTAAATTTTAGGTTAAAACATAAAACTTATAGAGAAAAGTTTTCATATTTATATTTTGTTTAGGAAAACAAATTTATCGAAACTAGAAAACTTTTTTGGAGTTAGACTCAATTCAGAAATCAATATATTAAATAAATGACACAAAATTTATATTTTTTTTTGTTTTTATTTTAATAAAAAGGCTTACTCAATACAAGTTTTCATGACATGAGAAAATAATTTACCATTTATACAGCAAAATTAGCCTATCATGCGTATAAACTTGGTATTATGTGCTAATTGTTGTTCTAATATTTATTTTGCTTAGTGGGCCGTAAAGAGTGCGCAAAGCATTTGCGGAACGAGGCTCACCATAATTCATATATTGGGCAATTTACACAAATCCGATTAGAATATCGCTTGCAAACTATGTACTCGGCTGTATTTATATCGGATATGACCGTGCTCTCCTTACAGTTGGCTTTCAATGAACCGGAAATGAGCAAATCAAGCATGCTCGCCCATCCACACACGCACCCACCTACTGGGCTTTAACACATAAGTTAAGTCATGTTCAGGCATCTTAATCAACCTAAAGGGGGCGGCATAATATTGAGCAGGCCTGTGCATCTGTCAGCTGACCAACCGCGTCAACTCAAGCCCCATTCAATCCTCTCAAGATGCTTAAAGTGAGATTCAGCAAGAGTTCGTTGGCCCTTTTCAGGCCAGGATAAGCCCTTACGGTTCAATACGCTCGAACACGATTAAGTTATTTACAATTTATTAGAGTGGACGAAAGCTGGAAACGAAACCGAAAACGAGAATCGAAATTTCCATTTCACTGCTGAGCAAATTGTGTTAAAATGATGAAGTGATGCGGGTATATGTACACTCAAAATAAATTTTAAAAAATTTGCAAAAAAAAAAAATGTTCTAAATTATTTATTTTTTAAAAACAAACCAGAAGGTATATTTTTTAAACAACAAACCAGAAGGTTTATTTTTTACGTGTTGCGTTTAACCTAATTCCCTTTCACACATCAAAAATGTATGAAGTGTAGTGGCATGTCTCATATGCGGACCGTCCAAGTATCCAGTTGTCAGATGTATGCAGTCTTTTTTGTCTTCTTATGTTCATAGGATAGTGGCAAGTTTCTAAATCCAAAAAATCTAAGAATTGTAAAGAAATATACAAATTGTCGCCATAAACTAAAACTGCCATTAAAACAAGAAACATTTTTAGAAACATATTTTCTGAAATCATCCTAAAAAGTAACTTATCCAGAAAAATATAAACATTTTGAATAATATAGAACTCCTTTTTATAAAATTCTCCGGCTTTCCCTACTTTTACACAACCCTAAAAAAAAGTGTTTTTTATAATATAGAAATGTTTTCTAAATTTAAAAATGATTTATATAATATAATTTTAATTTGAGTGTATGCACATCCCGTATTCGGCAGGCCCACCTACATCGCGGATAGGCAGTAAATATTAATACTTATAAATCACTTGATGTGTCATTCCTAGCACTTTAGTATAATGTTATTAATTCGAAAGCTGACCCAGTTGCCTGATCTGTGGAAGTTGCAACTAATTAATAAGAGCGAAGGAAAAATCCTGTGTGGTCTGGAAATTGCAGTCAAGTACTTCCCCATTTTTCAAGTGGGGCGTGGCACACTTCAAATGCGCAAATGTAAAATTATTAGCATACTTGACTTGATGCTTTTCTAGTTTGAAATGCAAATAACAAAAATTGCAGCACACTTTTCAACACAGGAAAAGAAGAGATACCATAATTAATGCTGAAATGTGAATTCTTGGTTGTCGGAAAGCAATTGCATTGGCTTTGAAAATGCCAGGTAGACGTTGATTCGTTTCAAAAATAGCTTTACGAACATAAAAACTACGTTTGCATTTATTAAATCTTTATTTATAAAAATGTAAAACATTAATGATATAAAGAAGATGCCAGGGGGTTCGCTTTTATGTTGATCCATGAGCTGGGTTGGGATTGAGCTTATGTATATTACAGTTGCATACTTACTCCTAACAGTTATCCTTTGAAATAATAAAACAATTAAAAACAATTTAAATAGCTTATATTAAAATAAACATACTTATATATTTACACCCTGAGTTAATCTTTTATATTTTACAAAGGTCCCGCATCGGTTTGGAGACAGTCTTAAAATTAAGTAATCGTAAAACAATCAATTAAAGCGGTTTGAGTTGCCTGATCTATTCGGGGAGTTTAGCCGTGGGTGTCCGTAAACATAGGCCTCCGATAATGAATCCGAGTGCTGGCTTCGTCGACCTGGAGAATATTTTCGCGAGTTGAAGGAATCTTAAAATACGAAAAAATTGTATTTAAATGAGACTTCACTGCCATATGGCTAGACTAGAAACTCACCAGCTAAAGTATCGTCCTGATGCATCGATCTAGGAGAACCGTTTCGGGGTGACATTAACTTGTTTTTTTGGAATACTGTAATTAGATAAAACAAATCAATAATCAATGCAAAGTTCTGGAAAAATAAAATTGCTTTTTAAGCAGAATCAGAATCATTTATCAAACTTTTTCTTTGAGTTATAGTAATTATTTATTATATCAGAATTACGCTTTTAGTTTTCTCAAATTCGGACAACAATTCAAAAGTTCGAATGTGTCTATTGGTTCAGACTTTCATTGTTGATCTGACTCTGAGTATCGGGTACGTTTTTGGGGTCTGAGTAGTCAGGGTACTATGTCCTTCGTTGTATTGAGAAGGTCTAGGATATTAATGATTACCTGAAAAGCTATTATTAGAACGGTTGTTATTACCCCAGTATATATAAGTTCCTATAGTGAACTTATTCTGTCTCTATTGGTTGCTATTATATCTTTTTGGAGACTTATTTTCCTATTTGAGTAATTCATTCTCATCTTGAGAGATATATACGAACGATTAATTAGGGATGTATTTTCCAACATTGCCACAGCATGGGCAGCTTGTTTTTATTTAATAGGAGTCGAAAAAATATTCTCAACGTAACATATGTTACTATTTTTATTAAGAATCACTTCAACTCAATGTTCTTGAAACTAAAACTGTGTTTGAAGGATCATTATCTAAGAAGAATTTACAACGGAATGTATTCGTATAAAGCAAAATTACAACAATTTATTTTTTACTGATTGTTATGGTAGCTACATAATAAGTCGATTTTTACAAAATTTATTTTTTATAAATTCCTGAAAATATAATAAAGGCTTCTTATGGCAGCTATATGTTACAAATGTCCGATTTGACCCGTTCCGTCTTATATAATTCCAACCGAGTGCAAACATCATGAGCCTTTTTAAAAGCATATTACAAGAGATATAAAATCAAAGTTGAAGTCACAAATAAGATATTCTGTAAATGCTGCAAACGCTACCGCCAGTCCTAATAATAATAGTTAAAAGAGTGAACCTTTTATCGCTCGGGTTGCCATCGCCGCTGCCCGAAACTTTTTCGTGCTCATGCACGAAATGGCTAAAAACTTAAAACTAATAGAGGAGTGCAGCGAAAGTTGTTCGTGGCTATAGCCTTCTGCCCCAGCTGAAACTCCTTGCTCAGCCTAGGGGGTGCCCTTAAAATTATTAATTAAACTTACCTTCTGAGTTGACTTGCGTGACGTCCTGAGTTTGGAAGCAAGACATGTACACTGCAATAGATATAGAAAGAAGTAAATAATTGAGTGCGTTGAATGGTTGGGCTTTATATTTTAGCAGCTTCATTTTATAACCAATGCCTTGCAAATGCCATTTATCAAAATTTGCTAACATTTCACTGAAAAAATAAAACCAAACTAAGTTTTACTTCTTGTCCGTTTTAGCTTAGCAGGCAAACAATGTAAAAGGTGGGCCAAGGGTGATAGCCACCATTTATTATTGTTCTTCTTTGGGTGTAGTGTTTTAGAAGCGATAACACCATCCCTATACAAACCTTGAGGCTAGGCAAATAAACATTTCAAAAAGGCAAAGCAGGCTATCTTATAAAGGCAAACTTATCCACAACTAACGCAAAACAAGTTTTTGGACCTTGAACCCTTGAACCCAGATTACGCATTGAGCGCCTCCGTAGAAAAAAAATCCTTAATTTCGTCGCCATTCCGTTTAGCTCAGAACAAACCTGCACCTCCAGTTGCCGATCCTATTTTTGTTTCTGCCTGTTGATAAAAAATGCATGGAACTTGCAACTATCTGCGAACAACCCCAAAAACCACATCTGCAGACTACGAGCTCTCCCAACATTTTCGATTTTTGACCTGAACGAAGTGGCCTAGGGCAACTTCAGTTTTCTGCTTAATGTACAACGCCAATCAAAAGGCAGGCTGAATATGAACTTAATCCTTCTTTGCAGTCGTCGCAACTTACCCCATATAGAAATAATTACAATCACCGTAGTGGTAAGCACAAAGCCGAGATTTTCCAACACGCGATAAACCAGAGGTCCGCCATACGGGCGGCCGCCGCATTTTTGAGCTAGCATTGTACTGCCGACAATGGGTATCTGCAATGACAAAAACAAAAATTTTGGAGTAAAGCAATTAGAATTAATATATTTGACTCTAAAAACAACAAATAAATGAAATCCTTTAAAAAAAAAAAACAAATAAATTAATTCCTTTTAATTTATTTGTTCCTTTTTATTTATTTTTGTTTTGCCTAATTTAATTACAATCCATGATAAGAAGGCACCAAGACCCACAAGTCAAGTACTAAAAGGTTAACAAAGGTTTATTTCTGTTCCTCTTCACCTTCCCCACTTTCAAAATTATGTTACTAATAAAATTAATAGGTAGTACTAATTTTACTGTAATAGCGGTAATTTTATAGGTAATCATCGATAAAAATATAGTATTTTTAATCTTTTGTATATCAGCCCAAGTTGGTGCAGTTCTGGTATCTTAACCACTTTAATTCTGTAGCGATTGAATCATATTTCGTATTGGTAGCAAAATAAAGGCAATGCTTTTAAATTTATTTTTTCTTGGCCGTCAATATTGTCGCAGGTGATTCTAGCTACGATAAAAACAACGGCAGGGACTTAGCCTGGAACAGGGAAATTTCACCGAATTGAAAACGCAAAAACGCACAAAGACACAGCAAATAAATATTTTCCATTAAAAAAAACGATTACACAGTTTCTAGCACAACATTTCAAAGGCCATTAAAAACCAAAAGAAGAAACAAAGTTTGAATGTAAAATTTTGCTATTACACAGCCTTATTTGACTTTTGCCCTATGTTTGACCTTTAACTCATTCTTAAACTAGAAAAGTTTTATTTTAATCTGTTTTAATTTTTAATAAGAAAGGAAAACTAACTTCGGGCGGAGCCGAAGTTGATATACCCTTGCAGAATATTCTGTAAATTATATTCTCCAAAATCGGATCGGTTAGCCAAAAATAAAACCCCTAAAAAATCCCAACTTCCTAACTTTACTAACACCAAAGTTATGGCATTTCCGATCAATCAGTTATATGGCGGCTTTTATAGTCGGCCGATCCCGGCCGCTCCGACTTATATACTTCGTGCAAAGGAACGAAGGGTGTGTGCAAAGTTTCAATTCAATATCTTTAAAAACTGAGAGACTAGTTCGCGTAGAAACAGACAGAATAGATGGACAGACGGATATGGTTATATCAACTCGGGACGCGATCCTGATCAAGAATATATTTACTGAATAGGGTCCGAGATGTCTCCTTCACTGCGTTGCACACTTTTAACCAAAATTATAATACCCTCTGCAAGGGTATAATAAAACTCACCTCGATGCTCTGCTCTGTCTCCGGTGATATTACTAGAACGTAGAACTGCTCATCCAGCGGAAAGTCCTCGAAGAATCGCAAACGATATTTACTTAAGCCATGACCGTGCTCAATAAAGTCCACAGCAATGAATTTTGAATTGGAGGGTTTAACCTGCGTAGGATGTTGCACGGGAAGATGGAAAAACAAAATTAATTCAAATATGATTACTTAAATGGCTCATTCCGTGTGACAAACGTATTTTAAGCATTTAGTAATCCAAACTCTAAAAATGAAAAGGTTAGATTGTGGCTATCGCCGGAACTAGGATTAATAACAAAGAAGCTAATACGATTATTTGATCGTTCATATATATAGAAGCTTTGGCATAGTCGCCCGATCTAAAAACAAATTAAAACCAAAATTCTGCAATTGGAGCATAATCGTATATGTTTAAAAACATCGAAGTCATACTTTTTAAATTTATTTTCCGATTGTTTCTATGAGTTACATGATATACAGTGGCGTACAGTTATTAGCAAAGAAAATAAACCCAATTTTTTTGTAATTATTTATTGATCATCTATTAACAAACTCATGTACAACCCACAACAAAATCGAATGTTCTCAGTTATGCTATTTTCGAACTTTTCTGCAAAGCTAAGCTTATTAAGCTAAAAGCCTAATTTACCGTTTGTTTTCAAGAAGTTTTTATCGTGAAGTGTGAATATGAAAGATGTTAACCAAAAACTTAACCGTACTGAGAATGAATGTTCGACTCGAATTCTCGCTGAAAAAAAGGGCGAAATGCTGCACCCAAAGAGCAAAGAGAAGTGATCCACGTCGAATTTTAACTGTTGCGGTTGCAAGGCTTTTTATGCATAAAATTAAAAACGAGAAGAACTGCAGACCAAAGGATGCAGCCATAGGCAAGCCCGTTAGCCATTTCGACGACATATCGATCAAGGCGCATTATATACGTTTCAGAACTGACAAAGAAGAAACCGGCTTTGTCCGACAAGAATATCAAGGCACGATTAAAATTTGCAGGGCTTATAAAAACTGGAAAGTTGACGACTGGAAAAAATTGATATGGTCTGATGAATCTAAATTTAATCGATACCAGTCGGACGGAAAACAAAATTGTTGGAAGAACATCGGGGAGCAGTTGCAGAAACGTCACGATCTCAATCCAATCGAAAATTTGTGCTCGATTGTAAGCAAACGAAGTGGTTTCAGCAAAACAGCTCGAGATGTGGCCCCGAATCTAACACGAAAGCTATATTACAAATCGACTACATTTCGATTTCTATGCCTATATTACTAAAAACAATGAAGCTATGTCGATTTTGCGCTGCATTTTGCCATCGTTTCTATGGCAGCTATATGATATTGTTGACCGTAATTCCATAATATTTAAATATTACCAATGCCCAAGGAACGAAAAAAAAATTAAAAACAACAAGGTTCTAATTTTTTTAAATTGTTTTTTCGGATTGTTCCTATGGGACCTATATGATATAGTCGTTTCGACTTATATACTACCTGCAATAGAAAGACAACTTTTGGGAAAGATTCAAGCAGATAGCATTAAAACTGAGGGACTAGTTTGCGTAGAAACGGACAGACGGACAAACGGACATGGCTAGATCGACTCTCCTGGTGATGCTGGTTAAGAATATATATACAGTCATGGAAAAAATAATATAAACTTTTCTTTCTAATTATGTGTCAGAATATAACAAAAAAATAATTTTTAAAAAACGTAATGAACTAAATAATAATTTTTTAAATTTTGAGGCCTATGGAAAACAGTTTTGTAGTTTCAAAGCCTATTAGTTTAAATTGTAACTTTAATATATAGTTGTGCCACTGCAATTTATAATGTCTTCGGCACAAATTGATGGTTCAATGGAGTACCATTCGGACTTCACTTTCTTCCACAAATCTTCCCTATTTTTGGACTTAAACCCACCAATCCTCTTCTTTATTATCCCCCAAAGGTGCTCTATAGGATTTAAGTCTGGGGACTGCGAATACGCCGATTCATCACAATAATAAGCGCGCAACATCGGTGAATTTCGACGGGCGGCTTGTTAGAAAATCAAAAAAAAAAAAATCCCTTTTTCTCGTCGAATGATCGAACCATAAGAAATAGACTGATTTTTCAAGGCCTTCACTACGTTTCAAACTTTTGACTGAAATTATAATACCTTCTGCAAGGGTATACAAATATAATTGAAAATTTAGTAAAAAGTATGCCAGAACGAATTAAAAATGTAAGGATCTTTAGACAAAGTATTAAAAAATTAGCTTTTGCAAAAAGTACGAAATTGGTATACAACTGAGTACATGCCAATTGATTTTTTTATTGTAGTTTTTTACGAGCAGAATTAAATGATTTGTTTATATTTTGTATAAGAATTTGTTTATAATAAATTAAGAAAAACATACCCTTGCAGTTATTACAAAACGACTACGTCTCGATTTCTATCCTTATACTACTAAATGTTATAATACCCTCTATGTCGATTTTGCTTTGAATTCCGCCATCGCTTCTATGGCAGCAACATATATGATATTGTTATCCTATTTTGACAAAACTATAAGCGTTATTCTGATATAGTTAATTATTACTATATCTCAACGGAACATTACAAATTTTTTTTATTTTATTTTTTTGTTAATTTTTTGGTTTTTTCTATGGGAGCTACTTATATGATATAGATGTCTGATTTTAATTTAATTAAACCCTTAATTCCATACTATTTAAATATTACCAAACCAAATCCCAAAGAACAAAGAAACAACAGATTAAAAACAACAATGTTATACTTTTTAAATTTTTTTATAATAATTATAATAATCTCTGAAAAAATATATATATTTGTATGTACAATTATTAAGGTAAATACAAATTTCTGATCGGTTTTTGTTTTTAAGAATTAATTATGGTTTTAAGTCATTTCGGATCCATCTATTGAAATGAATAGTTTAAGTATCAGAAAATTCGACAAATTGCAAAAACGGGTATTGCTAGTTTAACCGTTAAAAATCTGGAAACCATTTTACAGGACCAATGTAATTAAGTCTCAAAACTTACATTACATTGCATTACATTGTTTTGTATTTTTCTAAGAAAATAAATATAAGGAATAAAATATATATATATATTTCGCGAAATATTTTAAAGTGATGAAATTTGTGTGCTTGTTAGAATCTCTGATATAAAAACTAATTTTAATATTTTTATTTAACAAAAAAAAATAAAGTTGGTCAAAAGTTCCTCACACTCTGTGAGGATAAAAAACTCTGTATAAAAAACTTTCCACTCAAATAATAAAAGCAACGTAACGGTGGGAACCTAGAAAAATTTCTAAAAAATATCCCAAGATCCTATAATAGCTTTAGGAAATATGTAGATATCCGTAAAATATCACAACTTGATATGCATAAGAGAAGCTACACCATGCTAGTCGATAATAGACTCTGAGATATTTTTTAAATATACGGTGACAGCCTAATCAATATAAATTTTTAAAATAGCATGTCTTAAATACGTTATTATATAAGCAAGGATAAACGCTATAGTCGAGTCAGTCTATAAGATAGCTGTTACGTAGCTAACAAATCTCAAAATAAATATGAAAAATGTTTAGCACGGACTTTATTTGCTAAGCGCAAATGAAAGTCCAAAGTATTCAAAAATTACTTTGCGATATCTTCACATTGACATTGCATAGCCACTTTCTCAGCTTCTCCTGCCTCTGACTTTGCGGCCTACTTCGGCTTTCGATCAAGAACAAAACCAAAATGGGTTGAGGGACGTGCGGACTACTGACTGCCAGGACAGTCAATGAAAGGCAACTTTTATCGTTCCTTTGTTATCGAAGCACCATCAACACTTATAATACATAATATTGTACCGCTGGAGCCTCTGTCAGTAGTTAACTACGAAGCAGTAATGGAGGCTTGAAACATTCAAAAAAATCGATCTCTCTGATGACTTTTTTGGGAAGGAAAGAAATATTCGATTGAAATGAAACTTTCAGGTTTTATTGTTATATATTTCAACAGTCTTTTCAAATTCATTCATTTTCATTAAAATATATGTCATATTATGCCCGGTACAAGTATTTCGCCGAGGCGTCTCTTTAAAGCATGTATCGAGTGGCGGGAAAGATGCAGGTGGCAATTTCCATCAGAACCAAAAATCCAAAAAATTTTGTATTTTTAATAGTATAGCTTCTAGTTAAATCAAAAAAATTTAAAAAAAAGTGTAAAATTCTAAAATTTTTAGCAAATTAAAAGAAAATGTTTTTTTAAATTCACTTCAGATTGTTTAAAAAGTGTGTTAATCATCATTTTTTTTTAGCTTCAACTAGAAGAGAATTTAACCCCTAATCCAATTTTTTTTTGTCTCGTCTCGATAGGACGTTTTATTTTTTCCCGATCTTTCGAGCCAGCAAGAGAAATCATAAAAATGAAAAATCGAGAAATCCCACAATTTGCTTCTGAAATTTTAGGGACACATTCTTGGAAAGTTTGGGTAGATATTAATGCAAAAAAATGTAGATTCTTTGAAGCCTCTAAAGCAGGCTATCCCCTTAATGACCACATTAAATGTGCGTTTTTCTGCTATTTACATGTAAGATTGTTTAGCATGAGAATATACCATCGACTTACCTGTACTCTATGCAACGCCTTGTCCAGTCCACTAATATGAATCTCTTGGGCCTTCATGTCGGTCACTCGCACTGATTCAGGAATCACCTTGATACCCGGAACTAATTTCAAAGACATCTTATCCAAAAAGCCGTTGCCCATCACCACCTGTTTACAATAAAGGGGAAAATTGTTATTAGGCTGAAGGACCAATTAATTTGCTGTAGGATACAAGATTTTTTTATATCTTTTTTAGTTTTCGAGATATATGAGGTTGGGCAGACCCTTCTGAGAGGATTAAATGGGAATCCACCCTTAAGTATATTTTTCCATAGACAAGAAGTAGGAAACCAACCTCAAGTTCCAAATAGACGTCGTTCGTCTTGACAATGGCCAGTAACTCAATAAAACTAGAGAGCAGCTCCAGTCGACAGGAATACTGGCCGACGCTAGCATCGAACAAGGCCTCAACTTTGTATAACTTTATTAATTGGCGACCGAGCGCCTCCTTGGCCGCCAGCCGACAGTTAAAAACATCCACTGGCAGACTCTCCAGCTGCCCAGCGCACTTTGAAACGTTTTTTGCAATCTATCGAAAGTTATATATATCAGGACAAATCAACATATAAAATCCTTTTCCGGTAGGACTTACGAGGTTGCTGTACTTTTCGGACTGCACGTGGTTTCGGAGAACTAGTTGTGCCCGATACTCCGGTCCGCTGAATATGTCCAATGACTTGGCAAACACAATCTGTGGGAAAGTTTATTTGAAATGTGGATTGATGGGTAACAATGAGTGTAATACCGCATCCGACTCGCGAACTTCCAGGTCGTACTTAATGAATCCGCCCTGCTTTTCTTCGTCGCCGTTAGTAATCACAATCTTATCGCCCAGTTTGTGCCGATGATGCAGCACCCGGGCAATACCTGGAATATAAAATATTTATTTGTTTATTTATCAAACATAAAAAGGACATTTTCAGATTTTCGAACTGGTTCTAGGGGGTATTTGTGATAATGAGAAAATTTTCAATTTTGGGGGAATCTGGTGACACTCAGCATTAGGATTAGCATACAGCTAAAGTGAGCTTGCCCGAAATGGTAAAAAAAAGGAAAAAATAAAATTGGAGAAAATGAGTGAGTAAGCACCAAACTACTAACCTGTATGTTTATTAATCGAAATAATATGCTCGTCCGAGCTGCTCCAAATCGATGACAAAGTTAGTGGTGATTCGAAGCAAATAATATCGCCAACCGAGAAAATGGTCTGTGGGTTGGTTGACGGTTGGACAGGGGCAACCGTTGCATCGTCGACCAGTTGTGGTATTTGCATGTGAATGTGTTGATGTGTATAAATGAATACAGAATACGTGTTTTGCATGCGGAGAAAAAAAATCACTCAATTAACTCCAGTAAAAAATTTCATTGGAAAAGCAAGATAATCAGAGGTGACAGGTGTCTTCTAATAACGCACAAGCTTCTTAAATCTTGTTTATTATTGCATTTCTTCTACCTCTGTCTACACCTGTTTAATAATTCCAATAGCTGAAATCATATCCAGCTTACCTTGGTGGGAAAGATGTTCTCTGACTCGACCACTGACAGCTTGATGTAGTCCTCGGAATACTTGACTCCCGTTGGGTCTTTAAGACTGATGGCGATTACATTGTTGGTCTCCCGCTGCAGGTTTAGCTGTTTGAGTGTGTGTATAAAGTTAATATGTTTTAATAATCGTGTATAAGCCCAAGAAAACTAGTGCACAGGAATTTGAACCGCAAGAGCTACAACCGCACCAATCGCACTCGCTGCAAAAGCCAAACAGCAATGCATCCCGGCATTGAATTTTTCTCTTCATTTAACCGGTACATTTAAAGAAAAAAAGGAAAGGAGCTCACTGAATGGAAAAATGGCAAAGTGATACTCACCGAAATTGTCAGATTATTATCTATCTGGACATCGACCACATCCTTGGTGGCCAGTTCATACCGCAGTCCATTTGCAGGTTCAATATTATGTGAAAACTCGTTGCCCAGATTGTCGTGAAGCGATACCTTTAACAAAAAGTTCATACCCCGGGGAACCTTGTGTTCGGTCTTCCTAAATTTAAGGTTTGGCATCAGAGTCACCAAAATGTATTGTACATTTTTCACTTCGATTCCAATGGGCATCGTTTGGTCGGCAGTTTTAGCCTAGGCGATAAACATAAAATTCAATTCAATAATAATCCGCTTTCGTGTCCGCATGCAGATTGTTACAATTATCATATCTCGGCCGAGAAGGTCCTTTGTGTGCACAAGTCCATCCGGCGATACGTTGATAATGCCACTACTCTGGCCGTCCAGCTTATAAACCGGATCGTCCATATTAGACTTAAGCTGAAGCGTGCTTCGTGGCGCTGCCAGAATGGAATCCATTTTAATTGGCTTTGGTGCCACCAGCTCCAGTGTTTTAAAAACTGCGATAATAATTTCAATTATGTCTTTCATAGTTTTCTTGAGTGGTCGGGTGACCTAACACTTACCAATTAGCTCCACCGTGGCTGGTGGCAGCGTTGTTCCGTCCGCCAAACTAATGGTTGCTGAGATTGTAACCTTTCCGGGATTAAGGGCTCGAACTCGGACCGATATTAAGTCTTCACTTTGGTATTCAATTCCTGAAATTATATTTAAATACAATTAATTAATTACTAAAATAATATCTCATGTAAAAAAATTTCATTCGATGGCAAATCACAAGAAAACGATCCCGAAAGCTAACTTCGGCAAGCCGAAGTTTTAATACCCTTGCAGACTTTTCCGAAATTGCTAAAATTGCAAAAGTAGCGAGAAGAATAACAGAATTATAAAATAAACCCGAAGTCTTCTTAATACAAAGGCCAAAGAACAAATATGCTAAAAACTGTTTCAGTCACCATACTCCCTCATCAGCGACCTTATTAATCCAATGATGGAGAATCGAAAAAACATCAAATTTGGACCGAATTCACCCTATTATTTCTATGGGATCTATAGGATAAAGACGTCTGATCAGTACGCCCTTTTACCCTGATCATGGTTTGCTTGAAAAAATAAGATTGGGAAAGATTCATGTCAATAGCTTATATACTGCGCGAAATATCGTGAAAAGTATAAAATTCGAAGCTATTTCACCCTATTGTTTCTATGGGAGCTATAGGATATAGACGTCCGATCGGCACGCGCTTTTACCCTGAACAAGGTATGCATAAAATTTGAAAAGATTCATGTCAATAGCTTTTACACTGCCCGAAATATATTCAATTCTTCCAAGTCATATTCGATTGTTCCTATGGGAGCTATGGATATAAACGTCCGCTTTTCAAAACTTGATCTGCGTACACATGTTTTAGGACGACTGTAAAAGTTTCAGATCGCTTGTTTTAGGACGACTGTAAAAGATTCAGATCGCTAGCTTTTAAACTGAGCTTGCAAACGGTATTGAAACAGACAGACAGACGGACAGACCGACATGGCTATATCGACTCTCCTATTGCTCCTGATCAAGAATATATATACTTTATAGGGTCGGAAATGGCTCCTTCACTGCGCTGCAAACTTTTTACTGAAATTATAATACCCTCTGCAAGGGTAGAAAAAGTTTATAGACCTTTATAAACCTGACATACTTCTAAGAAAACTACCCAAACAAAAAGAATACCAAAAAAATGACTTAGATAATAGGCAAGCGCATATAATTGGTTTAAAAAATCAACCAACAATTTGTTTCGAAGTACCCCTTGAAATTTACCTAAAATACTGATACTAGACCAAAAGTACTGAAACTGGACCTAAAGTATAAATAAGTTTAAGTTCTTTTATAGCAATATTCTATTTGGAATCACGTTTATTTTAATTTATTTATTTATTCTAAAGAATTAAAGCAAAAACAATTTAAAATTGAAAATATGGAAGAGGCACATATTTCTCAAATGCGCCTATTATTTTTACACACAAAAAACATTTTTTTATTATATTGTTATTATTATTATGTTGGCCTTGATCAGGCCAAAAATTGAGAAGCCACCTTAAATTAATGGAAAGGTTTGTAAGTTCCGTATCTGTTCCTGCTTCAAAACTTAAACGGGCAGGCTCATCGAAGAACATTAAGAGGTTAATCTTCGTGCATTTTGTGGGCATAGAGATATAATCTAATCTCTACAGCGGTATCCGAGCACGTTTATGTGTATATCTAAACTTTATAAAACTAGACTTACCCGCAGCCGCAAAGACGTTAAATATCTCAACCACCTGCGACTGGCTGGCTTTCCAGGAGATTTTGGTGTTTTGGAGGGTACCCAAAATCATGGGCGACAAATCATTATGCCCCCACAAGGTGGCGGGCATCACGGCGCCGCTACGAATGCGGACCAGTGGCGTCCGAATCTGCACTCCCTTGAGGGCAACCACGTGTAGTTCCACCGAGTCTTGGGAGACCACCTCGTCCTTTCCGGTTATAGGATTTTTAAGCAGGAACTTGCCTACAATCTTAGTGGTTCCCAGGCTGTGGGCCGTAACAATAGAAGACCTCATAACTGCAAGTGAGACGAATAAAGTTTACCCTATTGTCAATACACCAGAAATAAACTCACTTGCTACTTTCTCCTTTTCTACTGTGTACACCATATTGGTGCTTGGCTGCGGTCCGCCCTGGTAGTAGATCTGTTTGCTGCTACCCACCACGAGAGTAGAGTCGCGGGGGTAGAGTCGAATAGGAGCAAAAACTTGAATGTTAAACGGCTCGCTTGCCACTTGCAGGGTGCCCTTCCCGGACTGAAAAACGATCTTGGTCTCGCCGACGTTGTTTCCCGTGATAGTGTAGCGGATCTCCCCCGGTCGCAAGTTATTCTGCTCCCCTAGGCGCACGCTCAACACGCTTTGGTCCAAGACAACCTCAGATAGATCGTACACACTCAATCTGCTGCGGTCCACGAGCAAAAGGTTGTCGTTGGTGTCAAAAAGCCGGACGATCGCCTCGATGCGATTAGTGCGTTCCAGCCGGTCCATGCCAATTACTGCAATGGCCCCAATTCCCACAACGGAGATGGACAAATGACTGGGTTCGTTGGTTAAACAGCGATCGGTCAGCTCGAGACGCACGTGGCCGAAACGCAGCGGCGTCAGAACTAGTAAACGGGCCTTCTCATCGTATTCGACGTGCACGATGCCCGCTTCGGACAGCTCGAACTGCAAGTAACCGCTGCCCTGGGTGATGGGTAGGTATTCGCTGTGGCCCGAAGCAAGAAAGATGCTGATGTGGTCTTTTGGCAACAGAGTGCTGTTTACCGTGTGAAATCGTATCTCGTTTTCGATCAGAGGCGTGCTAACCAACCCCGTTTTAGGCTGCAAAAGGAAATAAAAAGATAATTAGATAGTGAAAAATTATATTAAAAGATTAAAAACCAACATTTTCGACACCGAAAGGAGGACGTTCAGCGTAAATATCTTGCAGAGCGAGCAGCTTATCGTTGTAGTGTGACACAGTGCCTTTAATGCGAAAGTTAGGCGCCACCTCGCTCAAAGTCAGGACGAGAATATCACGGTTTGGCAAATTAACTCCGTGAATAACCTCCACTTCATTGATATGACGGTGTGGAATGGTGTCCTCGTGGTAGCGCTCGTTCCCCGCGGCAAACTCCCATTCCAGCCGAAGAGAGCTCACATTCATAAGCCGCCGATTATTTGAATCCTGGACCTCTATCTCGATCTCAAACTTGTTCTCGCGATCTTTCAGGAACAGTAGCGAGGAGCGCTGTTCCAGGGGGCAAGACTCACGCAGATTGTGGCGAGCGTAAAGCTTCAAGAAACGGGGGCGCACGCAATGCACCTTGGTGGTCACCTCTGATCGGTAGACGGCGAAGCTTGGCGTAGAAAGTCTATTATGCACTCTATAAGTGAACACGGTCTCGCCAAGCTTGCGGCACAGCACGGTGAACGCGGTGATGGCATTTTGTGTGTCGAACTCTATCTCGGACACCTTGATTATCTCGCCATCGAAAGCTGTGGACTTGGTGAGCTCCGCCGCCAGGGTAAAAATACGCTGTGGTCCTTGAGAGTAGATAACATTGCGGGATGACCCCACGGGGAGCACAACCTCGTTATCCAGCGGATTAAGCACGCCCAACGGCTCAAAAACGTAGATGTCAACGCTGTCGTGAAGGACTTTGTCCTGAAAAATGTAAGAGACGCGTAGCGAAGTGCTGCCTACAGCGGTGGCCCGCAGCCGTAGCACATGACACGCCTCATTGACCGGCTCCTCTGCCTCCTCGTTACTCTCCAGCTGTAGAATCGGATGGCTGAAATCAAGCTGGAAATGGAGATTGTCGCAAATCGTGTAGGGGACGTCTGAATTGTTAATTCGGGCGTAGACAGCCACGTGTACGAGGACATAGTCCTTTAAGGATGTCTCAAAGTTGCTGTGTTTAATCTGGAGTCTGTTGGGGGGTAGGAAGTAGATCTGTGAGAGACAGGAGATTTTCTGGTTCTTGGTCAGCGCCACCTTGACAGTGGTGTGAGCGGCTAGTGAACTTCCATCCTCAAGAAGCTCTTGGGGAACTAAGGCGGGCCGTACGTCTCGGATTTCAGTTGTGGCCAACCCATGGGCATCTATTTGGAGGACCTGCGGGTTTCCGGAGAACCAGGCGTAGTTGTAGTCGCCGCCAGAAGCATGAAACTGCAGCTTTAGCGGTTTTACGCTGTTTTGATCGAAAGGCAGGACCACCTTGATTGGCATCAGCTGAAGCTCCTCAAATATCTGAAGTTCAGCTTGTACCGACAGCTGAGTCAAAAATAAAAGATTGCATTTATTAAAGTTATTGTAACACCAGAGAATTAATGACATTGCAATTGGGATTTAACGTTATATATGTGTTTTTATACCCTTGCAGAAAGTATTATAACTTCAGTCAAAACTTTGCAACGCAGTTGATCACCATCACCAGGGGAGTCGATCTAGCCATGTGCGTCTGTCCGTCCGTACGTGCGTCTGTCCGCCTGCAGGTCCATCCGTTTGTTTACACTTTTAGTTTTGAAAAAATCCGACAACAATATCATAAAGCTGTTATAGAAACGATGGTAAAATGCAGCGCAAAATCGACATAACTTCATTGTTTTTAGTAATATAGGCATAGAAATCGAAATGTAGTCGTTTTGTAATAACTGCAAGGGTATATGCTTCCTTTCTTGTTAAATTCTATTTTGAGGTTCTGATTACGAAAAAAATAGTCAAAGTTGCCACAAACTTCGTTCTTGGAAAATAAGAAAGACATTCGTAAATTAAAAACATTTTAAATTAGAATTAAAGATCTTGATAAAACTAATTTTTTTTACTCAGTTATTTTTTAGAGAATAAGGCAAAACAATTACCATAATATTTTTGTTCGATCTATTTAAGTTTTTTGATCTCAATATTATGGCAAGATAATAGAAAATATCATCTTTAGCCGACGCTGCAACGATGGGAGCTGTCAAGAACGACAGGCGGAAAACAAATACTTTGTGTAACTAGACAATGTAACTAAAAGAAAACGTTGTTCACTATTTGGGATGCTTTTTAAGCACAAAATGACTTACTTTCTTTTCCTTTGATGAACCTATGAAATCTGACAGACTTGTATGTATATTAAATCTAAGCCAAAAAAAATCTGTGTGATTAAAATAAATAAAAATTTGTATCAAATAATTGGGCTTAAAAAATTCGAAAATAAATTATTTAAACATTTGTTCTATGTCGACTTGAGCAGCCTGATATTGTTTGACTTGTATGTATTTTAACACTAAGAAAAAAAAACGTCTGTGTAATTAAAATAGATAAAAATTTGGATTATATAATTGGGCTAAAAAATACGAAAATAAATAATTTAAAAATTTTGTCTTTGTAGTTACATAAATTATATTATGGTCACATTTATTTGATTGAAAACAACAATTCAAAGAATGAGTGATTTGCTCAAAAATTAAAGTTTATTACATCTGTTTCTAACAAAATTTCGAAGTGTTTTTAGTTTTCAATAATATATAATTATATTATGTTTCAAGGCATCTAAAATGAAATTACTTTTTTAAACCAAGAAGATTTGACTCATCTAAATTATTAACTTTGAAATAATATAAAACGCTTTCTCTCAACTTATACTAGCAGTAGGAACAAGACTGCTGTGAAAGAAACGGATGAACAGAAGTGGCTGTAATCCAGAACACTTCCGTTTTTGAGATTTGTCTTATTAAATTTATTTATTTTGTTTACAAATTGGTTAGTTTTCTTTGTGGCAAGAATTTAATATAATAATATAATTATAATTTCAGTCAAAAGTTTACAAAGCAGTGAAGAAGACATTTCACCCTATAGGCTATATAGCAAAGACCAAAAGTAACTTTAGATTTTTATTTTTCAAAGTCTATCTAAATTTTCCTGTTTCATAATTTATTATTTTGACAGCTGTAGGATATAGTTTGGACGCCTAAAAACTTCTTGCAATTGTCTTAAGTAGTTATCTATATTTTGTCACTTGATATAAACAAAAACAAGAAAGGAAAGCTAGCTTCGGGCGGAGCCGAAGTTTATATACCCTTGCAGAATATTATGTACATTATATTCTCCAAAATTATTCATATGATGCATTCTTAATACTCATAAAAAATCCCAACTTCCTAACTTTATAAACCCCAAAGTTATGGCATTTCCAATCGTTCAGTTATATGGCAGCTATAGGACTAATTGGCCAAAAATAAAACCCATAGGAAATCCCTACTTTCTAACTTTACAAACACCAAAGCTATTTCATTTCCGATCAATCAGTTATATGGCAGCTATAGGATATAGTCGGCCGATCCTTATGAAATTTAATAAGTCGGATTGATTGGCCAAAAATAAATCACATAGAAAATCCCAACTTCCTAACTTAACAAACACCAAAGTTATGGCATTTCCGATAAATCAGTTATATGGTAGCTATAGGATATAGTCGGCCGATCCTTACGAAATTTGGAAGGTCGGATAGACTAACCAAATATAAAACCCATAGAAAATCCAATCGTTCAGTAATATGGCAGCTATAGGATTTAGTCGGCCGACCCTTATGAAATTTGATAGGTCGGATTGATTGTCCAAAAATAAAACCCATAGAAAAACCCAACTTTCTAACTTAACAAACACCAAAGTTATGGCATTTCCGATCAATCAGTTATATGGCAGCTATAGGATATAGTCGGCCGATCCCGTCCGTTCCGACATATATACTGCGTGCAAAGGAAAAAAGGGAGTGTGCAAAGTTTCAATTCGAAATCTTTAAAACTGAGAGACTAGTTTGCGTAGAAACAGACAGACGGACATGGCTATATCAACTCAGGAGGTGATCCTGATCAAGAACATATATACTTTGTAGGGTCGGAGATGTCTCCTTCACTGCGTTGCACACTTTTGACCAAAATTATAATACCCTCTGCAAGGGTATAAAAACATTACATTATAGAATACTTACGTCTTTGTATGAGCCGTACACCTGAGTGATGCCCTGTTGTTTCGCCTTACCGAAAAGGCGACTCCCGTTTCGGGTTCGGTGGTCGATAGCGAACAGGGTCTCGTCCACCTCTGAGCTGATGGAATACCGGCTGCCAAGCGTTATCTTCTGCCCGTCAGCGGCAAATAAGTCCAAGGCCACCTCGTGATGCTCGCCTTGCACCGTGGCCCAGTTAAGGTGGGGAAGCAGGCTAATGCCCAATCTGTGAGGCTCTGCCACGGTCAATAATGCGCTGGGCCCCTTGGTGGTCTGTTCGGAGTCTGCCATGTTACGATCCCGTAGAAAGACCTGGGTGCGGCCCAGAGTCAATCCAGTGGCACTGTTGCCATGCAGTTTGGCAACGTTGACGTCCTCCACCTCCAGGTAGTATTGCTTGCTGTCTATGGCGTGCATTCGGTCCATTTTCAGCTGCAGAATGCGGAATGAGACGGTATCGCCCGCCAGGATGGTGACTTCGGAAGGCTTTATAATAATGTTGGCCAAGACACTGATGTAAACTTCGATAGGCCGCACGTGCCTGTACTCGGCCTGGGGCATACTGATTGTCACCTTGGATGTGCCCGTGTTGATACCCTCGAGAAGGATCATGTATCCCTTAGTGCCCTCCGCCTCAAACTTTTCAAGGGCCGCCGGAACGGTGTGGTAGTGGCTATCCGTGAAGGTGAGGTAGCGCATAGCGGCGGGCTTATTGTTGCCGGGCTTAGAAATCTCCCATTCAAACTCAATGCCCTCCAAGGTGAAGAACTCGTTACCTTGCTCATCAAAGGCGTGCAGCTCGAACATGGCTGGCGCCTCTTCAAGGTAAAGCTGTCGCGTTGCAGTGCGTACATTCAAGCTGGCGATGGCATCCACGATCACGTCGCAGCGCAGGGTCTCACCAGTGTGAGCCTCCTCGGCGAAGACAATAGCCGTGTTTCGGCGCCGTTCGTGTGTGCGCACTGTGACTACCGCCTGGTAAGCACATTCGCTGAAGCCCTTATAGATAGGCATGACTGATATTAAATCTTGGCGCGAGGACGACCTTAGGGACAAGTAAAGTAGGGTTAAAATGGCGGCAGGTCAGTGGGACGCCTACTAACCATTTGTAGCAATTAGACTCGTCCACTTCCAGGGTGAAGTTAATGGCCTTCTCTTCAAATATTGGCAGCAGCACACGTGGGTGGTTCAACCTAGCTGCTTTAGCATCATGGTTGGTTGCCAAGATCAGCAAAATTAAAGATAAAACGAATTCCATTTAAGCGGAAAACGCAGCACGCTGATATAGAAATTATAACAATATGCCGATAGGGATGGACCATCGTGCCGATACCGGCAATATTTGGTCTAAAAATGCGGTCACCCTTTTCTGAAGACGACGAGAAGTCAAATCATTTTCCATTATAACGTGTTTACTCAAGCCCAAAGAACTCAACATCGCGTTGGGCGTTATAAAATTATCGAGTGGACGAAAAAAAACAAAAAATTATCTTGAAACGAAAATTTCTAGTGGAATTTATCTCTATATTTATCTCAGCATTTATTTTCTACAATCTGATACTTTCCGTATCGAAATCAAAACAGCTGTTCGTAACTGGAATTATGGAGTTCAGAATAGTACTTAGATCGACGAAATGTGGTCGTCAGAGGCAAACAGCTGGCGAACACTTTTCGTCAGGCCATTTTTTCACACCAGCACTCAGATCGACGAAAAATTTCAGAATAGCGGTGCCAGTCAGCTGAAATTAACTTTGGGTGTATGTTGGACAGGCCCTAGCAAAAAGATTTCAAAATTTAATCTTTTGAAGTGCCTGTTGTCTGAGCAGAGCGTTTCTTTGATCAAAAATCAACTGAAAAACACAACTTTCACACAATCTTAACTTAAACGATACAAGGTCGACTTATGACAATTTTAATAAACAATCTATGTATATATGTATATAACTAGAAAGGAAGCAAACTTCGGCAAGCCGAAGTTTATATACCCTTGCAGTTCTTACAAATCAACCACATTTCGATTTTTATGACTTTATTACTAAAAACAATGAATCGACTGTACATATGTCGATTTTGAGCTGCATTTTGTCATCGATTCTATATCAGCTATATTATATTGTTATCCGATTTTAATTTAATTAAAACCTTAATTCTATAATATTTATGTATTACCAAATTCCAAAGAACAACATAAAAAATTAAAAGCAACAAAGTTATAATTTTTTTGAATTATTTTTTCCGATTGTTCCTATGGGAGCTATATGATATAGTCGCCCGTTCCGACTTATATAGTATATAATATATACTACCTGCAATAGAAAGACGACTTTTGGGAAAGTTTCAAGCATATAGCTTTAAAACTGAGGGACTAGTCTGCGTGAAACGGACGGACGGACGGAAGGACATGGCTAGATCGACTCTCCTGGTGATGCTGATCAACAATATATATACTTTATAGGGTCGGAAATGTCTCCTTCACTGTGTTGCAAAATTTTAACAGAAATTATAATACCCTCTGCAAGGCTGTAAAAATGCTCTGCGTATGTTCGTGGCCGATGTACTCGAAAAGTTATGAACCGTTTGAGCCCAAATTTTGACACATGTATTGAGGCTCCAATTATTTTTTTTATCTATTCAGCATTCTCCTAAGTTGCCAAGCAAAAAAGAAAGGGGGAAAAAACGAAAACGATGCCACCACACATACTGAAATTGAAGATAGATTTGCCAATTATCCTGTTACGAAACATCAATCAACCGAAACTCTGCAATGGGACGCGACCAGCAGTCAAAAAATTAATAACAATGTAGTGGAAGCAAAAATAATAGTGGGGCCATTCAAATGTTAATATCTCCTCATTCCTAGAATTCAAAAAATTCCAACTGATACACCTTTTCAAATTAAAAGATTGCAGTTCCCAATTAGATTGGCATTCGCAATAACAATCAATAAAGCCCAGGGGCAAACTTTGGAATTATGTGGCTTAGATTTAAGTGCGAATTGCTTCTCACACGGACAATTGTTGGTTGCGTGTTCCCGTGTAGGTAAACCAAACCCTATACATTTATGCCGAGAACGGAAAAACAAAATAAAATTGTATACCAACAAGTGTTATAAAATTAAATGGTTTTCAAACTTTTGCTTTGTGTCTTAAGCCTAGTACTCAGATCGACAAACGAGTATGCTAGCGTAAAAACTTTAATCTTTCCAGTGTGACCAAAATGAACATTATAAGAAATAGAGGGAAAAACTCAAAAAAATTGCAAAAGTCGATTTAAAGCCTAGTATCCAGATCGACGAAAACCGTACGCCATTCATGAGAGAGAGCGAGAGGCAAACAGCTGGCGTTCACTTTTCGTCGGGCCTTTTTTTCACGTCGGTCTCCTGATCGACGAAAAAAATACCAGAAAATTCCATAGCGTTGCCAGTCTGCGCAAATTAACTTTGGGTGAACCCTAGCGGAAAAGATTAACAAATTTAATCTTTTGGGGTGCGCTTCTCGCTGAATATTATAAGAAATGGAGGGAAAAACTCAAAAAAACTCGCAAAAGTCGATTGCAGGAGTTTACATGTGAGGACGAAATAACATTAATACTATCTGGGGTGCCTCTTGTCAGAGCAAAATGGTTTTTACGTCCAGAATGTACGAAAAAACACAATAAAAGTGCAGCTATGAACTTTAAATTAGCAAATAATTATCAGTAAATTAAAAAAAACAACTGTTAAATTTAAATTGTATTTTAATTGTTTTTTAATTTCTTTGTACAGCGGCAGACTTGTCTTGCCAAGGTATTTGATAATATCTTTTAAAGGCTCTTTGCCGCAAATTTGAATTTTAACTGCTTGTCAACAAACCCAGCTGATTGACAGTACGACCGTAGCACGCTTAAATCTGATGAACTCTCAAACTTTTGGTCACACTGGAAAGATTAAAGTTTTTACGCTAGCGTAGTCGTTTGTCGATCTGGATACTAGGCTTAAAAGTGCAGCTATGAACTTTAAATTAGCAAATAATTATCAGTAAATTAAAAAAACAACTGTTAAATTTAAATTGTAATTTTTTTTAATTTCTTTGTACACCGGCAGACTTGTCTTGCCAAGGTATTTGATAATATCTTTTAAAGGCTCTTTCCCGCAAATACGATATTTGAATTTTAACTGCTTGTCAACAAACCCAGCTGATTGACTGTACGACCGTAGCACGCTTAAATCTTATGAACTCTTAAAATGTTGGTCACACTGGAAAGATTAAAGTTTTTACGCTAGCGTAATCGTTTGTCGATCTGGATACTAGGCTTTAGTGATAACACGCAGTGTGAACCCAGCCTTAAGCACTGGATACTTTTTAAATTAATGGTATTTCTTGACACTGACATGGTATTTACTTTTGGGGTGGATGGCGCGGTCACTCTGTAGGCAGCTGATTGCCTAAGAAATCTTCCCAACATAAACAAGGAATTTGAGTGATCCACCTTAAATCAAGAATCATGCTTAAACTGAGTCGTACCCTGCTGCGATGGCGACACCGCCACCGGAGCCGCTTGGTCTCCACGTGGACGCCGCTGGCCACAGCCTTTAATTCCCCTCCTGCCAGGCGGATCAACTTCACCCGCGACGAAGTGGTAAGGGCCAGAGACACAAAAAAACCAGACCACTATGACTAGGCTTAATGCTCATTTCCCTTGCAGGGACTCTTTCGCATCCCGGAACTGCGAAGCTTCGAGGGCTTCTACTTGTTACGCGACAATGCGGAAAGCCGGACGCAGGAGCTCATCTCGGAGGCCATCTCCGAGCAGCGGGAGCGGAAGATGGTAGACATTTTCGACGAGCTTTCCGACTCATTGTGCAAGGTGGCGGACCTAGCAGAGTTCGTTCGGATCGCACATCCTCAGAGCAAGTACACCCAAGCGGCGGAGCAGGCCTGCATCAGCATTTGCGGTGTGGTGGAAAGCCTTAACACTCATAAGCCCATCTACCAGGCACTAAGCCATGTGGTAGAGCATGGGGACAAGCTGCCAACCAGTGAGGTGGATAAACATGTAGCCAAACTATTTCTTTTCGACTTCGAACAGTGCGGCATCCACTTGCCTGAGAAGGAGCGCCTGCGGGTCGTTCGTCTCAATGACTACATTCTTCAGCTGGGCCAGAAGTTCATGAGTGGCGCCGTCCAGCCCAGTGTTCTCCCGCGCAGCCTCGTCCCGGAGGCTATTCGTAACTAGTTAGTCCATATATCCCTCTACCTAGCATACACTGATGACATCTCTCTTAGCTTTCCGACATCCGGCGACAATGTTATTATTACAGGACTGTGCACAAACGCGGAGAACGTGCAGATACGGGAGGCCGCCTACCGGCTCTACCTGCAACCTTCCGACAGCCAAGAGGATCTGCTGCGGGACCTTCTGCTTTGCCGGCACGAGTTGGCCCGCAGCTGTGGCTTCAAGACGTATGCCCATCGAGCCCTCAATGGTAGCACCATGGAAAGACCCGAAGTGGTCCACGACTTCATAGACGAGCTGTCGGAGAAATTACGACCGCGCGCTGAAGCCGACTTTGCTAAGATGACTCAGATGAAACGCCGAGAGGGCGGTCAGGTGAGCGCCATGGCCGAGGTTTGGGATACGCCGTATTTTACTACCCAGATGAGAAGGCAATCACTCGAGGAGCAGGCCAACGAATTTCTTCCATACTTTTCGCTTGGTGGCTGCATGGAAGGACTGAATAACCTGCTGCAGTCGCTCTATGGGGTCCGTTTGGAGAACGCCGAGATGGAGCCAGGCGAGTCCTGGTACAACGACATCTACAAGCTGTCTGTAGTGCACGAGAGAGAAGGACTTCTGGGCTACATCTACTGTGACTTCTTTGAACGCACAGGCAAGCCCAACCAAGACTGCCACTTCACCATCAAGGGAGGCAAGCTTCTGCCGGACGGTTCCTACCAGCTGCCCGCTGTGGTGGTCATGCTGAGTCTAGCGCAGCCGCGCTGGAGCGGGCCGACCCTGCTGTCTCCGGCACGAGTTGACAATTTATTCCACGAGATGGGTCACGCCATGCACTCGATGCTAGCTCGTACCGAGCACCAACACGTGACGGGTACGCGCTGTTCCACGGACTTTGCCGAAGTCCCAAGCGTACTCATGGAGTACTTCGCCGGTGATCCGCGCGTGCTGCGAACCTTCGCCCGCCACTTTCAAACTCACGAACCCATTTCGGAAGACATGCTGAGGAGACTGTGTGCCTCTAAGCACCTGTTTGCTGCCAGCGAGACGCAGCTCCAGGTATTCTACTCAGCCCTGGACCAGGAGTACCACGGAGCAGGGGCGCGGCAGGGTGGTAGCAGCACAGAAACTCTACGCTCCGTGCAGAACCGCTACTACGGCCTACCCTATGTAGAGAACACGGCGTGGCAGCTGCGCTTCTCCCATCTTGTGGGCTACGGAGCCAAATACTACGCCTACCTTGTTTCGAAAACAATCGCCTCCTGGATCTGGCAGACGTACTTTGAAGCGAACCCCTTCAACAGACAGGCGGGCGAGAAGTACCGAGCCGAAATCCTGGCCCACGGAGGAGCCGTCCCCAGCCGGAAGCTGGTAGCAAACTTCCTGCAGCGCGAAATGACGCCAACCGTGCTGGCCGACAGCCTGATCACTGAGATTGACACCGACGAGTCAAAAATCAAAGAGCTGATGGTCAGCAGATGTTAATACTCTTCACACCCTTTCAATTGTATATATGTCTTCTCTTATTAATTAACTTTAATTGCCTTTTTTGTACGCGACGGATTCAATTTTGGTTTCATGGCTAGGCTGGTCCCAGCGCCGGCATCAGTTCCACGCCCACAAACTCCTTGGCCAGACGAACTCCCAGGAAAAACAGGCCGTAGCTCTTGACCAACATCCTGCGAGCGAGTATTGTATCGGATTCCGGTTATGTAAAGTTCGATTGATCGTTTTAAATGCATTGCAAACTTACCATTGGAACTCGTTGTTGTAGATGCTTCTCAAGATATTCAGGGGGTTTGACTTCACCATTTTGATCGGATGTCTTCGGATATGCTTATTTACAGCTGGATTTTTTACTGCCTTTTTGCACGCTGAATGTTGAATGAATGGATGGGATCTGCCAATCGATTTTCGTTTTGGTATTTTTCAGGGTTTTTTCGGTTTTATTGACTGCAGCGCCTGTAAAGGGCGCCAGACATTAACAGCTGAGCCACACTAGCACAAGTTTCTTATCGATATCTGAGTTAACTCAATAACTCAAAAGAGACGCCTACTCTTCGTAAATTCGATACTTCGGAAATGTCGTTGTACTAATGGAAATTATTTGTAAAAATAAAAAAAATGATTGAAGTCAGGGACATTTTAAAATGAACACAACAGCGTTATAAATAATACTTGGTAACAGACTGCAAGTGATTAACAGGAACAACCAAATCGGACTAATATGTCTGCAGATTTTTGCCAGCCTGCAGAAAAAATATGAACCGCTTTTGCCCAATATTGTCTAACTGGTATCAAATCAAGTTCATTATATATAAATGTTTATTTTTTGTTTTATTATAATTTCATACTTTATTTCATTTTAAATGTTCTGCTCCATGTTGTGAGTACGGTATGCGCCTACGAAAGAGTAGAGCAACACCTAATGCTGCCACACGGATGGAGCAATAATTAATTAATTATTACAAGTATAAACAGCATGTTTTGAATTGGTGCCTTCCCTTTTCAAAAGTTACACGCCATTATTATTTTAAATTTTCGTAGTGAATGTTTCAATTTTCACTGTCTAGAAGAAGAACAGAGATGTACCGAAAAAACATAGCCTAACTATCGCATAAAAAAGTCCGTCAAATTTGGATGGGGAACTAACTGAGAATTTTCGGAACGGCAAAACCTTATGGACCATCCGTTCAATGGATGGTGGATGGATCTCTGTGGGAAGACGGCATAAGCGGCTTTTTTGGATATTTAAAAAATCGACTTCCCGCTCTTTGAAGAACAGATCACGCTAGATAATTTTAATGATTTAAAGGACTGGCAGACTCTTCCTAACAAAGCGGCGTTTAGGCTTTTTTAATAACGTGCCTAGATATCCAAAAAATAAAATCAGTCCTTAAAGTATCGCCACTAAGCTCCCCACAATAACTGACGCACAGACAACAATTTCATACATAGTCAATTAAGCCTAGTATCCAGATCGACGGAAACCGTACGCCAGTCAAGAGAGAGAGCGAGAGGCAAACAGCTGGCGTTCACTTTTCGTCGGGACTTTTTTTCACGTCGCTACTCAGATCGACGAAAAAATACCAGAAAATTGCATGGCGTTGAAATTGCATGGTGAACCCTAGCGAAAAGATTAAAGCCTAGTACTCAGATCGACAAACGAGTCTGCTAGCGTAAAAACTTTAATCTTTCTAGTATGACCAAAATTTTGAGAGTTCATCAGATTTAAGCGTGCTACGGTCGTATTGTCAATCAGCTGGGTTTGTTGACAAGCAGTTAAAATTCAAATATCGTATTTGCGGGAAAGAGCTTTTAAAAGATATTATCAAATACCTTAGCAAGACAAGTCTGCCGCTGTACAAAGAAATTAAATAACAATACAATTTAAATTTAACAGTTGTTTTTTTTTAATTTACTGATAATTATTTGCTAATTTAAAGTTCATAGCTGCACTTTTATTGTGTTTTTCGTACATTCTGGACCTAAAAAACATTTTGCTCTGACAAGAGGCGCCCCAGATAGTATTGTTATTTTGTCCTCCCATGTAAACTCCTGCAAACGACTTTTGCGGGTTTTTTGATTTTTTCTTCATTTTTTAAAATGTTCAGTTAGAAGCGCTCGCCACATAAAATTCTGGGTAATCTAAAATTAGAGATAAATTAAAGCAGAAAATATTTTTGACATTCATCTTGGACTGCTATCTCTTGAAAACATTTGAAGTAATTAGTTCAGATTTATATTCAGGAGAAAATATGTTTTAATGTTTTTGGTGGGCAGAGTCCCGGCCAGGATTATTAAGGCAAAGCAAATTCTCTTTACAAATAATGCACCCCTAAAAAGTATATTTATGTGACGTACTACATACGTAGCTAAAAAACATTCAGTCGGTAAAATAAGATCATACGCTAATGGTGCGGAAAATGTTAAAGCCACTGTGGGCTGTCGATAGCAGTACGCCCGGAAGTTGAGCGTGCCAGTGTAGCTCCTTAATTTCCTTCTGGCCCTGATGAATAAAAAGCAGCTGGGGTGGCAACTTGCTAACTTCATCTTCGTTTTGGGCATTGGCCTGAGCCTGGTCGGTGTCCTTCTCCACGGCCAAATCCCACAAGGCGATCTGGTCGTCGTCGCCACCCGAGGCCAGGACGGTGGCCTCACAGGGACTCCATTCCACTGTGGTTATGTGGTCCGTGTGGTGCTTAAACGTGGCAATAGGCTTCTGGCTCTGAAATTGGCGTAGGTCCCAAATGTGCAGGAAGCCATCATCACCGCCGCTGGCAATAAAAGGCTCTGAGTGATTCCACGAAATCACATTAACGTCGCTTTCGTGGGCATCCTGACAGGTCAGCATGCAGGCTTTTTGCGGGGCCGCTCGGCAGTCCCAAATGCGAATCGTCTTATCCACCGAGCAGGACGCGAGCACGCTGCGCTCGTTTGGACTCCATTGCAAGTCCTCAACCGACTGAGAGTGGCCCACCAGCGGACGTTGGTCCACCTTCCAAGTGCCGTCCTCTAAGGGACTCCACACGTGAATATCCCGTCTGCAGTCGCCCGTGGCGAGCACGCCCTCTGCAATAGGACTCCAGTCCACGGCGAAACCCTCCTGATGGTGTCCCCCAAAGGTAAACATCGGACGGTCCTCGTTCTGCTGTTCGTACTGCTTAAGTAGGCTAGCATCTTCCACGGCCTGCAAGGGTTGGGTCAGGTTCCAGATATTGACGCGTCCAAGCTCGCTCCAGGAGGCGGCGTACACCGTGTTACCCAAACGGCGGGCACGTACTCGGTTAACGCATCCCTGGTGCTTAATCAGGGCACAAGTCATCTGCGGCTTCTTCAGCTCCTCACGGTCGGCAATGTCATCCTGGTCGTCCTCTAATTCCTCGTCTTCGTCGCCGTCATCTTCCTGCGTCTTGTGTAGGTTGCTCATCTTCATCACGATGAGGTTATTAACGTGGGTGCGAGCGGATTGCGTGCCAGCCACGATGTAAGCGGCCATCGGGAACGCCTGCCGTCCTGTGCCCAACTCGTCGGGGATGACGTCAAAGCTCAAGCAGGGAGCCCCTGTGGAAGCCTGGTGCAGCATCACGTAGGCACTCTCGTCGCAGACCAGCTCTTCATCCTCGGCCAGCATTTTTCCCGGCAGATAGACTTCCTTAGGCACCTTGGGCTTGGCGCTTTCGTCCTCCGCATCACTAGCACTGTCTGAATCCGTATCAGTCTCCGCGTCCTCGGGCTCCACCACCTCCATACTCAATTGGCCTTTGTTTTCGTCGTTCATTTTGCTGCGCTTGTACATTAATTTCCTTCTTTTGAATCCGCACGTGTGCTTAAAATTGAGTGACCGTACATAAATTTCAGATTAATAACAATAAATCTTTTAGAGCCTATTCTCACAAAGCACCATCAAAGATTTCTAATTATTGCCAACTCCCTGATTTGCGGGAAGGTCCACAATATTATGTCGTGCCAAAAATTTCCTAGTTAGTCCTAGATCGTGGATTAACATATCTGTACGATTTCGTGGCGTATTTATCGGATAATTTGAAAAGTTCAACACTTAATTCTTGGCGCGAAACATTTAACATTTAAATACCTTCCATCCCATTCTCTGAACCAAAGCGTTGTAAGAAAAGTGAGCGCGTTTCCCAGGAACCAATTTGTTTATAAAATATATGAATGCTCTAATTAAAAGTTGAGAAAAGCTTTTTTCCTTTAAATAATAGCATTTAATGAAGTAAAAGCGACTGTTGACTGTTGATAGTGACAGTGTGGCTCAGTGGAAACTCTAATTTCACATCTAATCCCAGTCGTAAATTTGTTTTTTTTTTTTAAAGTACTCAGATCGAGTCCGCTAGCGTAAAAACTTTAATCTTTCCAATGTGAAGCATATACTATTGTATTGAACAATGTTTAAATGATTAAATTCATTTAAAATTGCTTGAATAATAGCAAAACTAACATCAGCTATGATGCGTTTGCATATTGGAAGCTTGAATTTATTTACTTTACAAAACTTATTTAGCTCGCATAAAAAGCGACAATATCATAAAAAGGCATGTGCTAGTGGGTAGACCAGGTGATACTCTGGAATATGTGCAACTAATGAGTAGAGAAGAATCCTTTTCTTCGTAAATTTCATAGCGTTGCCAGTCTGCTGAAATGAACATTTTTTAAAGTGTTCAGTAAGAAGCGCATGCCAAAAGAATAAAATTTTTATTCTTTTCGCTAGGGCTCACCAAAAGTTCATTTCAGGTGGTTGGCAACGCGAAGTAATTTTCTGGTATTTTTTCGTCGATCTGAGTACCGAGGTGAAAAAAAGCCTGAACGCCAGCTGTTTGCCTCTCGCTCTCTCTCACGACCGGCTTAGTTTTCGTCGATCTGAGAACTAGGATTTATTTCTAAATTCAAACGCAGTGCTGCCTTTGATATCTTTTTTCCAAGAAATCGATTAAAGGCCCTGCACTGAGTAGTTCTGTTTGCATTAATGGAATGTTTGTTTGAATAAATTCGAACATTTCCATTATATAACCCCTGAAACTTGTAAAAGTTGCAAGATGAATCTTGGCAATATCAATAATCATTATAAGATTCTTAATAAAGTCGAATATACTTAAAATTTGTAGAACAAGCATTATTAACAGTGAAAAATTGTTCACTAATTACATGCTCAACACTCTGTTTCTCTGTGAATTTTGTACAGTATTCTAAAACAGTTTTTTGAAAATCTTGAATATTTATTTCTGCGATAAAGATGTCACATAGCTTTAGTGTGCAAATCTAATGGGAATTCAAATCTTCACTTCCCAATCCTAGAAGTTTGTCGAACACATTTTAAAATTGCTTGACTTTCATATATAGGGTTGGGTGAAGAAGTAATATCCCTGCAGTTCCGAAATTCATCACTACAAAAATTCATCACTGTTTAATCAGCAGCGGACTGCGACGCCGGCAGAGCCAAAGGCAAAGTCGGCAGAGCCGAAACTCTCCGTCCCCGATCGTAGGCAACGCAGAAAAATTTCCATCTCCCTCTCTTACTCCGTCTCTCTCCGCATAAAATGAGCTGAGAGGTGGAGGACAATGTATTAAAATCAGATCGACCTTTATACACCCTTGAAAATAAATTAGCATAATTTTTGTATTGTAGTCGTTGATTCTTATTAATTATATTATTTTATGGAAATACATTTTAAAAATAAAATTATTATGATAGTTTTGAAAGGTGATTCTTTTTTAAGTGAATAAAGAGTGATTATTTTATAGTCGGACAGCTAAACGCTTTGAAAAAAACATGTAAAGAAAATAGGCAAGAAAAACAAAATAACGGTGCCCTTTTCAACAATTTGTTTCGTTACGTCACTCATTAAACGGAAAACGCAAACAGATTTTAAATTAAACTAAATATCAAAATTAGGGTATTTATTAATTATTTAACTGCCACAAGAAACTGTAATATATTATTCATTATTTAAGGCGAAGCTTATAATAAAACTGTTGGGCCAGCATAAACTTAGGACTTGGCCGGTGGCAAAACAAAAACGCAGTAAGTTTTTATATATTTTATAATAATTTTTCTATTTTAGATATGTACATATACTTGGTCAGGAAGACCCAGTACATAAAGCACGAAGTCAAAAAAAGAGCACCGAAACCGAAACATCCTCAACACCTCCGAGACAACTGAAAACGTACATACATATGTATATTGAATTAAGTTAAATTAATTAGTTATATGTAATGAAATAAATAAAATAATAATGGAATAATGTAATAAAATAAAAATAAATTTATATGAAAATTTACTGAATGAATTTTACTGATGAAAAAAAGCGATGAAAATGCGATGAAAAAGCGATGAAAATGCGATGAAAAAGAGATGAATTACTGATTAAAGAGTGATGAATTACTGATGAAAATGTGATGAATTCATCACTCTTTAATCAGTAATTCATCACTCGTTATTCACTATTTCATCGCATTTTATTCACTCGTTCATCGCATGTTCATCAGTAAACGCTGTTCAAAAAGTGATGAATTACTGATTAAAGAGTGATGAAAAACTGAAAAAACAGTGATGAATTACTGATTAAAGAGTGATAAATTTTTCACTGATTAACTCCTAGGACATGCCAATGTTAAATTCATCACTAATTTGTATGAAGTTTCATCGCCGATTAATCAGCAGTGATGAATTTTTGGTGATGAAAAAGCGATCAAAAGGTGATGAACGGTACTGCAGGGATGACTAGGCAAATCCATAAGACTTTTATTTCATTCGATACTATGATTGTTGCCATTAGTTTTTGGTGTTTCACCATTCAAAGCAGAGTTTTCTACTTTTACAGAAATTGGATTTGAACTTTTTAAATTGAAAATATTGAGAATTATTGCAAAATCTTTTTCTTGTAGATCAATAAATCCGATTCTAAAATATTAACACATTTAAAAATCGCTGCGCTTACTCCTAAACTACTTACAAGAAAATAAGCAAACTCCGGCTTAATAATATTTTATTTAATTAAATATTTTATGGAACAACTACTTTTCAATGTTTCTACGGCTGCATTATATAATCGTTCGATTTTTATTAACAGAAACCGTAATAATGAATTGGAAAAGAAAACAATAAGTCCGCATGCATATGTACATATTTTTTTTTCTTGCGTTCGGTCTTGCTTGTATACATGAGGTAATGTCGTTGAAATTTGGAGGTACAAGGGTATAGGAAAAGTAAATTAAAGATAGCAAATCCCGGTGGTTCGGGGGGTTCGTAATATAGTCAAAGCATAATAAAATTGGCATGCCAGGCTCGCGGCTTTCGCCATCAACAGTCTGGACGTAGTTACACAGCCAAGCCAAACTACTGCGGGCGGGATGGGGTTGTGGGGGTGGTGTTTATACCTAAATTAATTAGCTTTGATATATGCGAAACGAATCGCAATAATACGCAAGCAGCCACCCCCGTCACGATTAAATAACTTGAACGCGTTTCGAGGGTTAACCCATGGGGTCAAAGAAAGCATTGGTGCAGTCGAAGCCAATGTGCCCAAATTAAAATATTAAAACATCAATTTTTATAATATTATAGTCTGCGTAATGCTTTAAGTTATTAGAAAATTACTAGTCTATTTTTTAAAATACTAATAACCTCCAATAAAATTTTGTTACGTAAACAAATCAAACAGGCCAAAGGTTGTTTAAAAACAACTCATTGCGTCTTATGCCCTCTTCCCACAGAGCTCCATCCACCATCCGTTGAACGGATGGTCCACGGATATGCCGTTCCGAAAATTCCCAGTTAGTTCCCCATCCAAATTTGACGGACTTTTTTATGCGATAGTTAGGCGATGTTTTTTTGGTGCAACTCTGAGTTCTTCTTCTTGACAGTGGAAATTGGAACATTCACTACGAAAATTAAAAAAATAATGGCGGGTAACTTTTGAACAGGACAAGGGCATGTATCAGGGGGTGCCAATTCCCTTGACAGTGAAATGGAACATTCACCGAAAATGCAGTTAAAAAAAAAAATGGGTAATATTTTTAAAAGGAGGGCCCCAATTAAAAAATGCAGTTTATACTTGCAATAATTAATTAATTAATGCTCCATCCGTGTGGCAGCATTAGGTGTTGCTCCACTCTTTCCTAGGCGCATACCTTACTCACAACATTAAGCAGAACATTTAAAATGAAATAAAATATGAAATTTTAATAAAACAAAAAACAAACATTTATATATAATGAACTTGATTTGTTACCATTTAGACAATATTGGGCAATAACTGTTCATATTTTGTCTGCAGGCTGGCAAAAATCGGCAGACGTATTAGTTCGATTTGATTGTTCGCGTAGATCACTTGCAGTCTGTTACCAAGTATCATTTATAACGCTGATGGCTCATTTTAAATGTTGTGCAAAATGCAACGGTCTAAAATAATGAGCCACAGCTGTTCAGATCAGCTGTTATCGGATGGTGGATGGTGGATGTGCTCTGTGGGAATCGGAGTTTCACATTTGTCGAAAATCCCAACCGTTTCAGACGGATGGACTCTATGGGAAGAGGGCATTAGTCGATGTTTTTTCGGCGGAACTCTGATTTCTTCTTCTTGACAGTAAAAATTGTAACATTCACTACAAGATTAAAAAAAAAATTTTTTTTTAAAAAGGAAGACGTCTAATCAATAAATGCTATTTATACTTGTACTGCTTACTGCTCCACCCGTTTAACAGCCTTAAAAGTTGATCTTTCCTAGGCGCAAAGCACTTCTCAGAAAGAGAGTTTGTCCCCAGAATTTGTGGATTTTGTGGTTTACAATAAACTAATAAAATGTAAATCGGTCAAAATGATTAATTTTCATGTTAAAAATACAGA